CCAACAATGTTTACGGTTTTCTAAACATGTCTTATAATCTGTTTTGTTGACGAATCGTCTTAAAATGCATAAAACAAGTTGGAAATGTTCTTTTAGAAAAGGGTTTGACTAAATGTGATGTTTTCCCTGTTTTTCATGAAAATAATCAAATAACGTCATCAGGTTTTCATACAGGTTCATCGTGTAACTGAATGAAATCAAATCAATCAAAAAAGCAATAATGTAAGTCTTGGTCATTATTGATCCTGAAACATGATTCAGTGTTGCAATTTTCTAAGTTTCACATTACGTGAACCTTTGCCTTCAGGACTGTGTGTGCTGCAGCGACTACAGCTTTTTTTCAGAACAGTTTTAACTTGCAATATTGCTGTTTTTTCTCGCATAAACTACTCATTCCATGTCTTTCTGCAACACTTTTCTCAGATGAAGTGTTTCCTTTGGAAGTTGCTGGTGAAATTCAGAGTTTACTGCTCAGTAATCACTCGATGCAGCAAAACAGGCCCAGACCACAAAATCATCAGACAGCATCATGTTCTGAAGCTTGAATGCAGCGGATCCTTTTTTCCTTTTTTTCCCCCCGAGCCACATCATGCAGACCATTTCTCTTTAGATCACATCATTTCCTCGGCAAACGTTGTTTTAGATCTTAGATTTATGCCAAATATGTTTGATACGTAGGGGTGCTTTTTCAGAACTTCTAAAGAAACTGACTGTTGCTTTAGGTCAGTTTAAATATTTAACTCAGGGCCGCGCGCACGCGCGCACACACACACACGCACACACACACACACACACACACACACACACACACACACACACACACACACACACACACACACACACACACACACATCTCAATAATCTACATCTTTATCTTACCACTTACTTTAGTCGCATACTTGAAAAGGAGTGGGACGAAGTGCATACTTATAAACTCCCACCTCTTTTCCACAGATCTCGACTTATACAGCCTGTTACTTCTCCAACTAATGTTACAACGGGTACATCTCTCACTCAGAACACAATCACACTGTTATGTCTTTATCTCAGTGGTCAAACACTTGACCCACTCCTCACCCCTGCCACATGGACCCAAGGGATAAACCATCAACCCTGCTCAATGGTCAGCTTTCCTCGCAGGGTCACACCCATTCGGACGGTGGGAGGTTTAACAGCGTAACACGAACCTTAGAAATCCATAAATCAAAATAAAAAATAAATCAAACATTCATCTTCATCCTCATAATAATAATGTTTTGTTATTTTTTAAGTTTTGGCAGCATTTTATCATCATGTTCATTTTCGGAGCTGTGATGGTGTTATGGGGTCCGACGTCTGTTCACCACGCTATACAGTTTAAAAGATTAAAGATTAAAGTCCCATGTAGTCGTCACACACACAGGTGTGTGGTGAAATTTATTCTCCGCATTTGACCCATCCCCTGGGGGAGCGGTGAGCTGCAGACAAGCCGCGCTCGGGAACTATTTGGTGGTTTAACCCCCCAATCCAACCCCTTAATGCTGAGTGTCAAGCAGGGAGGCATTGGGTCCCATTTTTTCAAAGTCTTTGATATGACCCGACCAGGAGTCGAACCCCTGATCTCCCGATCTCAGGGCGGACACTCTACCACTAGGCCACTGAGTCGGTTCAGTTTCAGTTTCAGTTACACCCGCGGTCCGCCACTGGAAGTACTGATGTTGCTTTACAGCAGTATCAGGTAGATGTAGATCCCATATGCATGAATTTGTAAATGACCCATTGGGTGCTGGATAGCATAACAGCGTCACCGCCATATTGGATGGGTCTCACTCTCCAAAGCAGTGACTGTAGAAAAGTCAAAAGTCAATGCAGAGTGAGCAACTTGTGTCTGATTTTGTGAAGAAACTTGATAAAATATGTTTTTTTAGTTGGGTAGCACCTTCCTCAGTAGAAATGAATGCACTGGGGGCAAATGGAGCCCTGTCTAATATGGTGGCTGGTCACTACGGCAGTGCCAGTCCACAGGGCGTCTGTGTGACTTGAGCAATGGCGGATCCACCAAAGAAAGCATGACATCCTTTATCAGCGAAGTCTAGGAAAAGAAAAGAGAACGCAAGAGCAAATACCAGAGTTAACACTGGGCCGGTTTTCCTCGCTGGAGAGCTCTTCTTGAAGGAACGGCATGTACTCCAGACTCTGACCTAGCTGCTAATGGATAGGTAAGCAATAAATGGTTTGTTTGGTCGGGCATAAAGTTGTTATACAGTCCTGATAAAAAGTTATTCAATGTGGGAATGCCGCTTAATGTGTTTGTTTGGCATGCAAGTTGGAAAACAGCCAAAATAGCTCTTATGCCTGAGAGATTTGATTTTACAACAGTAACGTTACGCAGCGAGCCTTGAGAGGGCGACAGAGAGCATATATCCGCAAAGTTCAGGAATGTGTCTTTAAACTGACAAAAGGTTAAACGTTAGGTATCCTTTTCCTCTCCACATACATGGTTATCTGAATGACACTCATAGATGTAAATAACGGCCTGGAACTCATAGTATCATGCTGGTTTTCATGCTGGAGTTTTGGCCTGAATTGAAGTTGAATTGATGGCGGACATCTACGACTGAACCATCTCCAAAAGATAATCAGCCTTAGATGCATCTTTAATGATTATTTTCAGTGTTTCATAAGAGTCCATCCAGTGGTTCACGCACACACACACACACATGCATGCACACATGCGTGCACACATACATGCACGCACACTTGCACCCACTCACACATGCATCCACACCCCTGCACATGCACGCGAATACACAGCATAATGTTCCTGCCTTGCAGTGATAGGCAATAACTAAGATATGTGCTGCTGGAATGTTGTGGAAGAAGATCAGAGCCTAGAGGGAACCATGACTGGTACAGAAATGAGAAAATGAAAGTGATGTTATGGCCAAATTAAAAGCTACTTTAACAATAAACAGGGATGCTGTAAAAACAACCGTGTTGCAGGAAACTTTACCTTTCTTGTCCCCGAGGAGCAGATTTAGCTCAAGTATTGATTCCTGTGGCCATGTCTCTCCCACTGCTGTAGTGGTTTGTGTTAGAATGGAGATCATTTGTTGTCCACCTTGCTTCCATGAACAGCTGCTTCAGGATTTCTAAGCTACCTGTGACCGTGACTTGATGGGACTCTCTTCTGTTTTAGCTTTGGCAGGTGATTGACAGCACCACGAACACCTCCGTGCTGCAGAGAGTTCTCTACAGTAAAGTAAGTGAAGATGATGCAGCGCGCAAGGCCTCATTAGATCTGCCGTTATTTTGCCTGGGGCCGGTTTTCATGTAACCACGCAGGCACACTCTCGTGCAAAACTAAAAATCCGATACCAAGCCCTCCCTGATGTGTTCATGGGCTTGTTTCTAGTGTTTAAGACGGACACAAATGCAGTGCAATGCCCAAGCAAGCCACCTCATGCTAAGTCACATGGGAGACTGTCACGCTGCGGGTGTGGAGATGATGGACCATGTGTGGTGGAGAGTTCAGGAGGCAGAAGAGCAGGCACGGATGAAAAATAAAAATGGTTTTAATGGTGGAATGGGAACGACAGGAACAAAACAACGACAACTACAAACAACAACTGTCACGTTCTGCCCCTGCCTTCCTGACTGTGTCTCTCTCCTGTCCTGATTAGCCATTATTGTTTTCACCTGTCCCTTGTTTACCTGCCCATGTGTTCCTGATTTCCCTGTGTATTTATACCTCCCTCCTTGTGCCATTCTTTGTCAGATCATTGTTTGTGTTAGCTGTCAGCGTTGTGTTTTGTCGTGCCGTTCCCACTCTATTGTTAAAACCATTTTTACTTCATCCGAGCCTGCATTTTTACCTCCTGAGCTGCCTCTCCACACATGGTCCATCATCTCCTCACCTGCAATCATGACAGATACTTGGTCCAATCTTCTCATAAATGTTAATCATAAAAGCTAAAACTGGATTATTCTGTCAGAGAGGTGTGTGTACAGATTAGAAATGGGACAAGCTGAAGGAAGACTCCTGTCAGGATTTTGGTTGAAAAGCTGCATTCTCAGGATAAAGGACATGCCATGCCTTTGATCACAGGGGGAAAATTTAACAGGTGAGAGAGGAAAAATGGAGGAAGGTATCTGAATATCTGTCAGACAAGAGTGGCTGCATTCTGTTATTCATCTGTGAAAAGGAAACCTTCAGATTTCTGTCTGTTTTCGCTCTTTCCTAAAAATCCTCCCACCTTTGCAGAAATGCTACCCAATCAGGCATGCAATTACAATCCAGAGCATGCTGTGAAAGGTAGCAGCAGCAGGCCATTTGAATGAAAACAGTCCACGCTGCTTCCTGCACGCCGTGATGCTCAATTACAAAGCAAATCATCTCCATCATTTTTGTTTCCTTCTTCTTGTTTCATGATTTTGTTTTCAAACTTGAAGTCAAACTTTTTTTCTCACATGAACAAAATCAAAACCTCAACTGCCAATGATTTCAACTATTCTGAGGTGTTTCCCGGCTGTGGCAGAGCTGCTTCAAATCCCTGGGACTAGAGAGTGAATGTGAGGAGGATTAGAGGGGTAATGCCAGTTGATGAGAGGGAGAGGGTCGCAGTGGTTCGCCACTCTGCAAGGATTAGCTGTGAAAACAACTTCACAGTCACAAACTATGTCAGTCAAGGACACGATTCAGTGAGCCCAACAGAACCCTTAATGAATTTTCTTCCCTGCTGCAAACATGTTCACATTGTTTAGATATGGCTGGGATGATGTGTGCATTGAAAAGGAAATTGGACAAACATCTAAGGGAACAAAATGTGAAAAATAAAGCAAATAAATGTGAACTTGTTGAAATGTTGCATTTAGGCACCTGTGGAATGTATGTTGCACCATGTATGAGTCAGATCTGGCACAGATGTGAAGCTTTTTATTATGTGAGATGGGTGTGTTGGGGGATGAAGGAGGGGGGTTCTTATCTTAAGTGCAACTGGACTGAGGATTATCCCACACACCTCGTTTGTCTTGAATCTTAACAGTGAGCTCCAGGAAAGGCTCGGTCTCCCTGTCCAGCCTCCGGGATATCGTGATATCTCCACTGTCGCGACCAACGGTGACAGGAGAGCTCTCCGACTCCGGGTGCACCAGCTCGTAGGCAGCTGCCTGAAACCTGGTGGGACCCAGGCTCGTTACGACCGAGCCGATGCCGGCTTCTTCAGACACGTTAAGGGAGATCAAGGCGCCGGGCTCCAGGAGCGCCCTGGGTGAGCGTCCTGGCCTCACGCGCCTCGGCGTTCCGGTCGGACGCGTGGCCCACCGCTTTGGAGAAACAGAAACCAGTACAGCCTTACTGGTCAGTGAGGGCCAGCCGTGATCCCTGGCATAAACATAGAATTTAATTGTAGAGGAGAGGCCCAGGATGGAGTCAACCAGCAAAACTTCTCCCGTTTTCGGGACAACGTAGAAAGTGCCATTTTGGGGAATGGAGCTAAACGTCAACTCTGCGTTCTTTCCGCTGTCTGCGTCGCCAGCGCGCAGCTTGTAAACAACACTTCGCAGAGCAGTGGTGTCGTCTAAACTTATGTGCACGCTGTCTGTGCCGACAAGTGTCGGCTGGTGGTCGTTGGTATCCAAAACGTCCACTTTTACCGACGCAACCTCGTAAACGACCGATTCCGGCGCGCAGGTCTGACAGCACTCACCGATGCTCAGCAGGTAGACCGAGCGAGTCTCTCTGTCTAAGACCCTGGAAGTTTTGAGTAAGACATTCCCCCGCCTGTGGTGGGCAAAGACCCGAAAATCTTCGCTGCCGTTCCCGTACAGTTTGAAGTGCATCCCGGAGAGCGGGCACCATTTTTGCGCGTCAATGCGCTTCACCGGAATGCTGAGTCCGTTTACTTTGGAAGCCGCCGGCGAGTTCTCAAAAATGTGTCCATGAAAGAAAGGCAGTCGACCCTGTGTTTGATATCCGGGTGCTGGCATCAGAAGGCAGCACAGCAGAACAGCCCAAATCATGTTGGTAGCAAATTAAATACCTCCAGAACGACTCAGATAGGGGGCTGGATGAAAACCCTTAAAAAAAGAACACAATCCCCCTGGAAAAACGTTTCCTTCATAGTTATCCTCGGTACCATCCGTCCAAGAGAGCCCTCGGAACTTTAAGCCTCATCATCCTGGGAGATCCGTCCCCTGGCTCCATGCGCAGCGACTGTGAGCAGATAGTCCAGAGCGCTGCAGGCAGCGTTCAGCACCGGAGTGCCGGACAGCGCCAAACGCGGGGGCGTGGCGGCGCGCAGGGACGGAGCTCCTTGGTGGAACCCCACCCTGGGTGATGGACAGAAGGGTCTGTCTCACACCTCTTCACGGTGGCTGAGTCTGTGCGCGCACAGCACGCGCGTCCGCAGCTGTCTGGCACATAAACCCGCTCTCAGCATAAAGAATAGTTGACAGAAGGGAAAATCACTCACGCTTCCCTCTCACAGAAAGTCCACTGCGCACGCACGTCCCCTTTTCCCCTCGCTACACCTTCCATTCAGCCTGTAAAGTCTCCAAATTCTGGATTAGATGTGTCTTCCTTTAAGACGCTTATGACGAGGGGAGAATTACTCATGCACAGCACTCATCTCCTCCCCGAGGAACCGAACCCACGACCTACTGTTCTCCAAGTTTTCCCAGAATTTCAGGTTACTGTTCCCAAGCTGCACCGCGTTTCTTAAGCCATATGCTCACACAATCACGTTTCATTTATAGCTTAAAAACCAAGAAAAACGACTAAATTATTCAATTTAAATGCAAATGCAAAGATCTGGGCTGTTAAACTGTGTAAACATGATGATTTAAGGCAGCCTACACCGACTAGCTCCATATGTCTTTGCAGCCAGAATGTGCGCACTAGAGTTCAAATTAGGATTGTTACTCTGCTTGCTCTTCCTTCCTCTTCCCACGCGGCTGGTGTGCCAAGCACCCGCAGAAAGAAACCTTAATCCATAGAGGGCAACATCAAATTTCTGCAGAGTGCAAACTTCAAATTCCCATCTCCCTTCTGCAAGGAGCCAGTCGGGATATCACACACACTCAGGGCCTTTGATTTGTCAAAAAAGTGCAGAAATTATGGACAAAAAGCAGGCTTTGTTGCACCTGTTTGACATGTCTTGTAAACTTTTTCCCCTTCATGAATCAAAACTTTTAAGCATCAGGGGTGTGAGGTCATGCATTGCTCTTCAACACATAAAAAACGTCTGCATGAAAATCATCAAAGCTCCCGCTGAAAGATTCTCATCAGTTGGAAACTACAATCCGTCACTACAGTTTAAGCCAAATCCACTCGTTTCAGTGAACGTCTCTTTTCTGGCAATAACTCTGGGAGCTTGCAGTGAGCCTCCAGATAATTCAGAATCACAGCTTGCAGCTGGAGCTCAGAGCTCATATTGGTTGATTGTTGTTTTCTTTTATGTGGTGCAAGCTCAAGGCTGTGTCAACTGGACACACGAGCCATCTCACAGTCACTGGTGGCTGTTGTTTTATATATCTGACCTGCGCAGGGGAATGGAAAACTCAAAAATAAGCCCTAGATAGGAAAAGAAAAACAAATCCAACCATTTATTCAACACATGATGGAAAAATGACCTCATGCAAAACTGTCAGCATGCCTAAAAAGACACTGCCTGAGAGGATCTGGTGCTCTGGACCTTCTTTGAACATGCTCAGCACTTGCATAAATTCAAATAAAATACCACCTTTTTATCATGTTGTCTCACATGGAGAAACTCACCGTGGCTCGTGGTCGGGGAGATGGCGGGTGCAGAATTCTGTCATCGGCCAAGGCCGAAGAGCGAGGGCTCGTTTTACTTGAGGGTTGTAGCAGTTGTCTGCTGAGATGAAACGCCAGCATCCAGCCCATAAAAACAACAAAGCTGTAATGAATTTTTTAAAAAAGCATCATGAAACACGAAACAGTCTCATCATCTTTCTTCTCTATCAGATAACTGTGAGCTGCGGGGCGTTAAAGGAAGAAAAAAAAACTCATCGAAGAAATCACCCAGTGAACATTGGAAAGCTTCATGCTTACTTAATGAATAATTGACTAAATCCATTCCCTTCATTCAAACAGATCCAGACACCACAGCTGAAGGCAAATTTTTTAAAAATAAAATTAAGAAAATGCTGCCTCGCAACATTTAAAACTATCTACCTTTGATTTCTGTGTGCATCAGGGACAGCGGATTCTGGGTTATCAGGTCCCATCATGTCCCTAGTGCTCTGCACTACACACAATATCCATTATTCTTCCTGGAAAGTAAGAAAAACACCAGGAAATGATGGAAAGGAGCATTAACAGGACCTGACACTGACATTGGTTCATAAGCGCTTTTTGTTGCACAGTCAGTAGCATCTTTTAAAGAAATCCCCAAAATGGATCATTCAGCTGATGCCAATGAGTTGCTGAGACAGGCAGGTTCATTAAAAAAAATGAAAAGACGATTAAAGTGAATGACTAAGCATGTGTTTCTCTGAAAGTGCAGTTTGTGGAAGCACCGTAACATCAGATGTGAACAGCAGCAGCCCTGGTTTTTATGTTTTGCTGCGTATACTGGCCCCCCCGGACCTTTTACCTCATCAAACCCTGAAGGCAAAAAGCAGCAAAAGGGGCTGGATAAATATAAAGACATCTCCCTCATGTATTAGGTACAGCAGCTAATTAGATTTGATCTGTGAACCCCTCAAGGCAGCCACTACCCAACATAAGCTGTGGAGACCATAGCCGGTTATTATTAGATGTACTAACTATGGAGCAGAGCACGCAACTTGAATTTTTATGAACTCAAATTTTAGCAAAGACCGTTTAATAGCTGCTGAAAATGCAATAATAATAACAAGAAGAAGAAGAAGAAGCATAGCCGAGTGTCTCGTTAACCCTTTAACATAGAATATATAAATGCTTTCAATCAGTCTAATAGGAGAGACAACTGTTTTGAAGAAGAAAGAAAAAAAACTAACAAATACATTTTCATGATTAATGCATGGCTCCATGTTTTCCACACTTCAGAGCCCAGATCTAGTCTGAGGAGTGTTTTCATTCTGTTTACACAGCAATTAGTGGAGACTGGCTGAATTTGATTAACACACAAAGCGGTGATCCTTTTTATAAGATGTTTAAAGATTTCTTCCATCATTAAAACACACCAGAAATAACTTTTAACACAAATCGGCACTCCTCTTTCTCTAAATGCTTTTAGATGAGTTGCTGCTCTTTTCTAAGCCGTTTTGGCACAAATACATAATAAAACTCTCTGTCTTTCTCCGAGTTAATTATTTCATGAAGTCCTGCTATTAAGCATGTTTCCATTACTCGATCAGTTCAAAGCAACGAGCCGATCCAGCTGGGATATTTAGGAGGCCGGTGGGATGATCAGGGCTCCCTTTACGGGGAGAAAACACCAAAGGTGTCCTGCAGCAGAGAAGACAGCTGACTCTTTCACACAGGAGGTCCCGGAGCATCTTCGACGATGATGAGTTTGAAATTGGAAAACAAACTTTTAAAAATTCACCTAAACCTCTTTATCTACCCATAAAAACCTGCTTCGCTGTTCCTTCTTCACGCTCTGTCTCTAATTTGTCACACATCTTGTCTTAATTTCTGCCTTAATTCTTTGAGTACATTGTGTAGTCTTTATCAAGTGACCCCTTATTAAGAGTTTAAATTAATTTAATGCACAAACCTCATGGGGCATTTATTTCTAAATCAGGTTTTCAACAGGAAGAACCACAGGCCAACCTCACTTCTGCAAGAAAACCATAAATACAGTTGGCACCAAGTGTGTTTTAGATAACTGAAGCGCAATTTGGTGCTCCTTTAGAGGCGCTATCTTGCAAGATTTTGTTTTTCAGCTCTGATTACCTGGTCAGTGTGTCCTCAAGCTTGCGGAAGCTTGTTAATAAGAGCAATTTAAATCAGGTGTGATGGAGCAGAGAGACATTTAAAACATGTATGACAGCCGCCATGCAGAAGTAAAGGTGCTTTAAATCACCTGTCTCCAATCCTGGCTCTTGAGGGTGACTGTTCTGCATGTTTTAACCGGTTCCTTGCTCCAAAACACAGCATTTAAATGTCAGCAGCTTCTGAAAGTTTCATTTCCATGCAACAGTCAAACTAAAGCATGCATTAGGCACCAATCCTGGTCCTGGAGGGTCGCTATCCAGCACGTTTTAGTTTTAGCCCTGCTTCAACACATTTCATTTCAATCAGCAGGTGATTAGCAGGCTTTTGCAGAGCTTGGTGAGCTGCTGCACAGGTGATTTAATCACTGAATCAAGTGCGTTGGAGCAGAGAAACCACTAAAATCTGCCAGCCCTCCAGGACCAGGAATGAGAACCACTGCTCAAGATGTTTCTTCAGAACAAGAATTGGATGCCATTGTTTTTGATGTTCAGCTGTTTCAGTGCAGCTGGTTTTAATTTAAAAGCTGAATTCTCTTCGGGATGCACAAAAGAGCTGCACGAGTCTATAATTCACCCGCTGATTCACATCGACGGGCAACTTGATTTGACTTTTAGTCAGAACAACTTGAGTGGAGCCCTGACGGAAATGAAATCTCCAGAAGCGGTTCAGATTTAGACCAGTTTGGTATGCATGTCCGGGGGATCTGTTGTTTTGTTAGCTTTTAAACACTACAAAGTCTTATTTTTTCATTATATATATATATATATATATATATATATATATATATATATATATATATATATATATATATATATATATATATATATCTATATATATCTATATATATATATATATCTATATATATATATATATATATATATATATATATATATATATATATCTATATATATCTATATATATCTATATATCTATATATATCTATATATCTATATATATATATATATCTATATATATATATATATATATATATATATATATATATATATATATATATATATATATATATATATATATATATATATATATATATAATCTTTTTTTAACAGCTGAACTTGGCATTCTTAAACTCTCCACTTCAGCTCATACTTGCTAAAGGGTCTCCAGCGCCCCCACTAGTCTGTTTAGAGTACTGCAGGTATGTAACTGTTCCTGCAGCCTTGACAAGATAAATAAAAAAATAAATAAATGCATACATGGACACGTAGCTCACAGTTTAAAACAGCAGGGGAATTATCATTACTGTACAGGGTAAATATAAAATACTGCTAGATTAACTGCAGTATAAAATCCTGCATTAGAATAAAAGGCTCCTGAGGAAACTGAACTCTAATTAAACACATTTTCCAAAACTTGAGCGGAAAGATGCAGAACTCCAAAAGGCAAGGGGGAAATTCTGGGGCATATTTTACATTTAAATATACAGCAATTAATTCATGTTGCCTCTCAGAGCAATAACCGCTGCTCCACATTTCAGCTCCCACAAACACGCGCCGAGGCCATCACGGCACGGGTGGGGAATGTTCCGGTTTTCTTTTTTTTTGTGTTTGTTAATGTGCAACATTGGATTTTCTGACAAAAACAATCGAGCCATTATACAGTAAAAAGCCTTTTTAATTGCAGAATATATAGACAGTACGGTACAGCAATATAAACACGGCATATTGCTTCTATTTTTACATGAAATTACACAGCTGCTGTCCAGCTCATGAAGCAGAACAGGAATACGGTGCTTGGACAGGAGCAGTATGGAAAAACAACAACAGGCTCGCAGAGCACTGCGCTGCTCACTTTCCACTACAAGGTGGCTGCAGCAACTGAGAAATGCACAGAAAAGTAATCATTTTAAGAACAATGACGCCCAGAGGAGCGGTGCTGATCACTGGGTTTACTGGGAGGAAGTGGGCTGAAACTAACTGGCCACACAGGTAAGAGAAGAACAGCCACAACGTCCACCAAACGGAACAAACAGAAGAATAAAAACAAAAAAAAAAATGGATTACTTTGTACGCAGTACAGTTACTTGTTCCTGGACTGGACTTCAGGTTCGTCTTCGTGCCTCGCTTCATGTTAAACGAGCGCTCTTTTGTTTGATTAAGCATCCGTTTGTAAATAAGGACACCGCAGCTGCTTCCTGTCCTCGCTCTGGATTACCGAAGGATCCTGGGAGCTGATCTGTCATCGGTCAGTGTCTTGCGCAGCCTGACCCCTCGGCGAATGGTCACCAGCATGTCCACGTCCTCCCGTGTCACAGAGGACGGCTCCCGGAGCCCACTCTGAGCCGCGTCCCCTGATGTCGAGCTGGGGAAGGGAAACTGACCCTCGCCGAGGGCGTGCGCGCTGGCTGCCAGCTCTCCTATCTTCTCCACCAGGCTGTGACGGTTGGCAGCGAGCTGAGGGTCCTCATCTGAACCGTGGGCAGCCATGCCGGCGGCTTGGTGGGTGTAAATTGTCCTCTCCACCGCTCCTCCTCCCCCTCCCCCTCCAAAGCCCCATGTCGTGTCAGGGAGGCTCATCCTCTTTGGAGAGCCCCTTGTGTAGTCACTAGCAGATGGGTCATCACTATACACAAACTCCTCGCTGCCTTTACGATGCTGGGATGGGCTGCCATACCCGGGAGAGTCTGGCACTGTGGGGGTTTTGACTGGAACGATGGGGGGCCTGATGGGAATGGGGCCTGATGTGGAAGGTGTGCGTCTCACGCTGGTTTTGGAGGACGGCGTCCTGCGAATGGTGGCAGTCCCAGAGGAAATGGCTCCGGAGATGCTTCCTCCTGCACCGTTAGGGGTTCCCTGCAGGCTTTTACCCGCGGGAAGCCCTGCTGTGCTGGCAGGCCTTTTGGTTTGGATCATGCGGCGGTAGCTCTGAGCTATGTTACTGTGGCGTGGGATGGTGGACGACTTGTCAAAGTCCACCTGCCCCTCACTGTCGGCATCCCCGTTGAGAGAGAAGCACTCATAATCAGAACCTGGAAAGGACAGCGAGGCAGGATTTTTCATGTTTCATGCTGCACTTTCACGTTACGTGTAATCACCCCGAAGGAGCGTCTGGAGAGGGATACCTTGGGATGGGATGGTGTCCTCAGAGCAGGAAGGGGTGTTAGTCTGTGTGCTGTAGCCGCTGGAGTACTGCAGAGAGTCTCTGCTGCTCTTCTGCTGCTCCATACTCAAGCCTCGGGTCAGAACCATGGCTAAAGTACTGGCTGCTGGAGACAGGGGCTCTCCATGCTGAAACACAGAGTTATAGACATGCAGGTCACACATATCAGCACACATTTAAGCAGCAATTCACCTCTCTTGAGTCCTTGTGGCACGTGAATCCATTTACATTTTTACACCTTGGAGACATCTTACCTTGGCTGTAATCGTTCCTGGGCCACTTCTCACTCGGTGCAGATCCCCTGGTTGCATCCCAGAGTACCCCTGCGGACTAGGCGGCGTCTCCATCTCTCTCATCTTTTCCACAGATTCCCTCCTGCGCTGCAGAGTGCTAGCCAGTGAAGCCTCACAGGGACTCAACTTGGCCCAGTCCTGCACAAGCAGATGGAAAAAAATCAGGGAATCTTCAAACTCCGCATCTCCATTTGTCATCCAACCGTTGTCTTCTCAGTTAAGCACATTTGGCTCGTGATCCGGTTAGATGCATGTGCAGACATGTGCCGGCTAGGGGGGGGCATTTACTCTGGAGTTAGCACATCTTGGAAGGAAAAGCTGGGAAAACTGAGCTTGATGGGCAATGGCAAAATGGTGCTTGTGAAGTTAGCAGCAATAAAACACACACAAAAAGCAAAGAAGCAACAAAGTGAATAAATTAAAAGTGCAAACAAAAACGAACCTTCCAGCTAGGAACCTTTGATGTGGGTGAAGGGTTGTTGGATCCAGGTGAGTGGGTAAATGTGGGGGACGCGGGGACTATGACAGATAGAGGCCTGATGGTGCCAGTGTGAGAGAAAGCAGCGCGGAAGGTACCGAAGGAGGAGCATGAGCCATACTGCGGAATGGACAGACAAGTCTGAGTCAGAGCGCTCAACAATCCATGAGAGGTCCACGTCAAACTGCACCACGGCTGTCATCAGCAGCCAGCGGGCTTTTTTTAAGCCACGGATAACAATGAGGGGAAATGCGTGCATGAGTTTATGTCTGAAAGTGTGTGTGCGTGCGTGTGTGTGTGTGTGTGTGTGTTCAGCAAGGCAAGTAGGCTGGTAGGAGATGCATGCAGTACTAACCGCTGTAGGAGAGTTGCACTCGCTGACAGACTGGCAGGTTTCTGAAGCCTCAGAGGAGGCTGAGCTCGTGGATTTCTGGGAAAGGGAAGATGAAGTAAAGAACAGTGTTGCAGGAGAAACAAGGAGACGGATGTAGGTGTGAGAAATGCATAGGAAGAGGAGGGGAGGGTGAAAAAATAAAAAGAGTGCTGATAAGCTTCAGATAGAGGGATTTTCTTCCCCCGCTCTTATTGGATCTATAGGCTGTAGCCTCAGAAATAAAACAGCCCGTAAGATCATTCGTTCAGAAAAAGGAGCATTTCATCAGTGGATGTTCGGGTGTGCTGCTGAGAATGTTCACCACACCGGAATCTGTTCAGACCGTAAGAGTCTGAATAACTTTATCAGTCCAGTGGGACAGGACTTTCATATTTGCAGATGATGAGGCTCCGTTACAGCCAAAAGCTGGCTTTGATCGTCAAGTTGTCACTGAGATTTGGGATTTGTGACTGAAATACAAACATGGACAAAACAAAAAACCCAGATTGGATAGACCCAATGGAAAGCCATTGTTGAAACGAGTGAATTATGTACTTTGACAAGAAAGTGTGCTACTGTCTGAGGGGTCTTGTAAAAGCCGGCAGCACAGGAGCTGCAACCAGAGGAGCGGCCAACGGAGACTGCAAACCAATGAAATACAAAACATCATCTGGTCAATCCTCGTTCTCTTTTAGAGGACCTCAGATTTGGAACGATCTACCTTCAGCAAAAAAAGCTGCTAACAAATTTTACAACTTTTTAACTCCCAGGTGAAACAAAAACCAACACCGATGTTTCTAATCAGCTAAACTAAGTCATCTACATTGATTGTGTGTGTGTGCGTGTGTGCGTGCGTGCGTGTGTGTGTGTGTGTGTGTGTGGTGACAAATGTAATAAATGCTGTTCAGACCGTAAGAGTCTGAATAACTTTATCAGTCCAGTGGGACAGGACTTTCATATTTGCAAATGATAAGGCTCTGTTACAGCCAAAAGCTGGCTTTGATTGCCAAGTTGTCACTGAGAGTTCTGATTGTAAATATGTTTTTATCCCCCCATCATATGCTGCTACAAACCCATATTCTATGACACAATACTTTAATCACTTTTGTGAATCGCCTGCACCGACGGCTTAATTACTTATTCACAAGGATGCAGTCATGTATTTAATTATTGAGATATGCGATTGTTTGTTTTGCACTATCCTTCATGGTACTACTGTAGATCATTTTTTTAATGTATATATTGTATATCATATTTCTATTTCACCACTTCCTTTGTCTCTCCGACTGCTTTGAGCATGTACATGACACAAGAATTTCCCTCGGGATAAAGTTGTTCTTATTCTTATTATTCTTATTTGATTATCTCTAAAAGTCCAAACAAGCACTAGGTTTGCAAATTAGCCTCTGGCTAAAACCTCTGTACACAACAACGGTTGCATTTCCCTTACATGTAACATTGTATTTTATGTTGTCCTTGCACAATAAAGCTAAACTAAACTAAACTAAACTAAACTAAACTAAACTAAACTAGACTAAACTAAACTAAACTAGACTAAACTAAACTAGACTAAACTAAACTAAACTAAACTAAACTAGACTAAACTAAACTAAACTAAACTAAACTAGACTAAACTAGACTAAACTAAACTAAACTAAACTAGACTAAACTAAACTAAACTAAACTAAACTAGACTAAACTAAACTAGACTAAACTAAACTAAACTAAACTAAACTAAACTAGACTAAACTAGACTAAACTAAACTAAACTAAACTAGACTAAACTAAACTAAACTAAACTAAACTAGACTAAACTAAACTAGACTAAACTAAACTAAACTAAACTAAACTAGACTAAACTAAACTAAACTAAACTAAACTAGACTACTCTAGCAAGACCACTCTGCTCTCCGGTTTAACTGGAGAAGACGAGTCCCTGCTTCCCTCTACCAATAAAAACACATATATCTGTACCTGGCTGGTGATATCAGAGGGCATGGGTGAGGGAGGCTTGGAATGGGTGTTGGCGTCCTGGGAGACAAAGCCTGAGTCGTGGGAGGAGACGCTGCTGAGCCGATGTGCTCCTGCTGATGGCATCTGAAGCAGGCTGTTGGCACAAAATCACACCGATATACTACTGAGGATGCACAGCAAACAACACTATTATCAATATAGTCACACGTTTGCTTCTGTGACTTGTGAGGAATATAAAGGCTAAATGAAAAACTGACCACAAGTCTAAACAGAGTCGTTCTTCTAATTCTGGAACGTCGAAGAGTATTTAAACATTATCTTGTATTTGTTACGTTTTCTCCCTCGGATTAGGAGCTGTCTTTTGTCTCTGTTTTGTTGGCTGCTTTGTTTTTCTCACTCCGAGCCGCTTCCCTTTGTCACCCACACGTTTGGAAATGAGCAACTTGTGCATCTCACCTCCCCTCTGCTCTCCTCCTCCACATCTACTCCTTCCTGTTTCCCTCTGGAACAAATCAGCAGTTATCGTTTCGCATTAATCTTCATCCTCCAGGATGGGGCTTAAGGAGGAATGCCAAATTAAGCATGGCAAATTGAATAACTATTATTTATTTAAATCAAGGGAGCATCTTAACATCTATTTTCTCTCTCCTTGGTTAATCAGCTGGCTCTTCTACGCTGATGATGCTGCAGCTATACCTCTGCGACCACAAAGTTACAAAAACACTGATTATTTCTTTCCAGTGGCAGATGGAAGTGGGTGGGACATGCTGTGCTGCAAGTGAGCGCTCCATCATTGACAGCACGAGGATTTCAGGGAACTTGACGAGAGCTAAACTGAGACGACGAGACCGCTGGATCAAAACATCTCCACATCTGCAGCTTGGGCAGGATGTGTCCGTTTGCAGGTAAAATAATCCAGCGGGGGCAGCGTGACGCTTTCAGGAAAGTTCTGCTGGAAAACTTTGGGTCCTGCCATGTTTTCCCAACTTAAACATAAATGCTGACGAAACACGCCAGACTAATCTGCCTCTGCAGCAGACTCCCAGAGGCAGAGGTCTGGTTGAGTCAGGGTTGTTCGGCTTATTTCATAGTTTGGGTTTATTTTTATTTAGTCGGTCGTGATTTCAAAGTTTTCATTTGAGATATTTTCTTGTGTTTAGTTTAGTTTAACTTTTCAGGATCTCCGAACCATTCTGCTCACTCAGCAATCGCACCTTCCTGCATTTATAGTCCCTGGTTTCTCTCGTTCATGGTCAGATTCTACTGCTGCCTTCATTATTTACCTTCATGTTTTCTACGTTTCTGTTTTAAAGTATGTCTGTTGTGATGTTTTTATTAAATCTTTTGCTTTGACTGTTTCGCCCTTAAGGCCACATCTAATATCCATCTAAATATGCAGTTTTAAATCGAACTACAATCTAAAACAGGGACGTGCTTTTTTACCGAGATGCCGACATAACTCTTCATTGCTTTGGTATGTTCGTTCTGTGTAGCTGTGCTGCATTATTTGATTCTTTTCCGCACACGGTGTAATAAAGATTTGTTTTACCTTTTTATGCTGGCAAGCTCTGCAATGAAACGTACATAAGAGACATGGCGCCAACTCAACACCCAAAAAATAGAGCATAGGAAGGAGTGTGAGAAGGAAACAAGCTGAAGACACACAAGAGCAGCAAAACCAGAAGCACTAAGTACAGTAAAGAAATCAGCCGTAACAGACCGCAGCACAGGGGAAAATCCTTTAATGGACTGGGACAACGCACGGACCATAAACACAGAACAACAGAAATACAGAAAGTAGATTAAGGAAGGGATAGAAAAAGGGAAACGTGTATACACTGGACCGTTCACGGGACATTGTCATCGGCGAGGAGGGCGCGGACAGCAGAGGGCAACGTCGTTCTCTGCTGCATGGAGATAAACGGAGATGGAAGTGATGCCACAAACATCCGCGGTGCTCTGAGGAAGGCTACGGAGTTAGCTAAAACTCGTCAGCAAAAAAAAAAAAAAGTAAAAACAAATGTTTACGATGCTGTGTGCAGAAAATAATCAAATAATGGAAAACCTCTTAATTCCTGATACTAATATAAACCACTACCCTCATAAAAAAGGTTAAAAAAACCGAATTTTTTAAGTAACTAACATGACATTTCCTATTAAATTCATTTTAAACGGTGCTAAATATAACAACTTGAATGTATTTTAGGCCAGCTGCGCCAAATAAAAACTAAAATATTTCACATCAGATCTCTCCTGTTTTGACATTTTGAGTGAGAAGAGAAGAAGCTAAAGAGTTTGATGTATAAGAAGTGCACAATATGGAAATGTTGCATCAGAAAAAGAGCAAAAACTGATATCGATAATTTCTAATATTATGTTTAAATGCCAGTATCGGCTGATAGTTATGGAAGACTGGAAATACACACAAATCTAATTAAACCTACGTGATTTTTTAGCTGTTTCAGTGCTAAAACAGAATCTCTATGTTGTTTTGAAATCTACATTCATGATGTCATCTAAATCCAGGAAGCAAACTGTAAATTCACACATTCTCATTGGTTGGAAGGAAACATAAATCGACAATAAAAAGTGGATTTTGAGTTATTGCCACTAATTTCAGACAAGTTCAGATGAGAAGCCGGGCGATTTCCCTTCAGCTCAAGATCAAAAGTCGCTCTCTGAAGAAACGCTTTTCTCTTGACCTAGAACTGCAGGTTTATAAATAAACTGTTAAACTACCGTCGTTCACCTTAAGATTTTGTGGGTTTTGGTTCTTGTGTGGGCTCATTGCTTTTAGCCTGAGATGTTTGACAGCTTTCAGCCTAATCTGGCTGTAAGAAGCTTGAGAGTGACAAATCTGCCAGAAGCTAGAGTCGAGAAGCTCATAAAATAGCACAGGTGCTGCATGTCGACTGTCACAGGTAGTCAGGCACTTAGCAAAAAAATAATAATAATAAGTATGTCGCAGTTATTTTAATAAACGACCTTAAAAGTTTCATCGGTGTGATTTTTAGACAGAATGCTGCTAAGATCACATGTGTTTGTTTGTTCACAGCGGTGCGTCTTCAACATCATTACCAGCACATAGAACACACCCAGAAATAACATGAATACCAAAGCAGAGAGATGTTAGTCACAGCAGAACATTTTCATCTATTTTGGAAAAATGCCTGGGGTGGATTTTTTTTTATGCAGTGAACAAATATGATGTGTCTGTAGGATCTACCTGCACATGCTGCTCTTCCTGGAGTTGGTGCTGCTGGGGGATGAAGGAGGGGTCTGGTAGGACCAGCTGTAGTCGGAGCCTTTCAGGTCCCGAATTACCTGCAGAAAAATCACAGAAGACTGAACAAGAGATGGAAATGTGTAGCAGAAAGTGGTTATTTCTTATATTTCCCAGTATACTGTAATTTGTAGCAGACATTACTTAAGCCAGCAATTCACTGGGCTAGGCTTCTGTGTGTAAATGTGGGTTTTTCATGAAGCTGTTCAACAGCCGTCCTTAAAGAGCAAGTCACCCCCTACCAGAGTCTAACTCCACTCCCACTTCCTGTTTGAAAAACGCAACACATGCTGTTGCCTAGCAGACCGAGGGGGCGGAGCCGCTAACAAATACACACACAGACAGACTCACGACAGCATTGTGACATCATAATGTACCAGTTTACATCATAGCATACCTCTTAGCCAATAGCGGCGGCAGATTTCAATTCAAATAAAGTGCAGAGTTTTTACCTGACAACGGCACAACACTTGACAGTTTTAGGCAGAATATCTAAATTTGAACTAAGATGCACTGAAATGCCAAATTATTGACTACACATGTCTGCGGCACGATTAGACACTCGTTTCTTTGGTTTATCAGCAAAGAAAAGTTGATTTGGGGGTGACTTGCTCTTTAAGTTCCAGCGCCTTGTTGTCATCTTGCTTGATTTTTGGTAAAAACTTATTTCAGAAAAGTTTGCAAGACAAATTTGAAATATTTCAGCATTTAGAACAAACAGAGAATACTTCTTGGCTGCTTCTTTAATTAGTTGATCTTATTTGAGGAATGTGAAACAGCTTTAGAAAGGGTTGGAAACTAAATTGTATTTAAAATTCAGGTAGAGTGCTTAGAAACTGACGCTTGATTGTGACACTTTGTGCAAACTGACATGGCAATCTGCACTATTTTATTACAGTGACATCCTAATGCCCCTTTTGACCCAAACAGATTAGAAACTATGTACCAATTCAGCTTGTTTCCAACTGAAGGTTGTATAATTTTTCAGTTATTAAATGGTGGCAGAGGTGCTGGGTTACTGGCCTAAACACGGAAAACCCTTAACAATATTTTAGTATCTGGATAAAACATTTAACATTTAACTTGATCATTTTAGATGAGTCTTTTATTTATTTATTTATTTACTGTAATCTTTATTAATGAAATGATTTATTAAGGCAGGGGCTTGTCCAGAGAGTGGCCTAGAGTAGAACATGCCATCCTTAGAATCTGACTGGCCACTCCAGGTGCCACCCCACTGAATTCCCTTTAAATAGACTTTACATTGTCCAAACGTGAAAACAAAAGCATCCCATAGCCATCAGTGCCACCCATGCACAACAAAGTGCCCCACCTGGGCCACCTCATTTCAATACATCTGGACACGGCACTGCATTGAAGCCATCAAATGCATTGTAAGAACCCAGTTTTAGTACGCCAGTACCTGCTCACTGGCGGGTGGCAGCTTGTGCGGATCTTCAGTCAGTACAGTCAGGTCATCAACGATGGCTTGTAAATGAGTAATTTCTCCCAGCATGGCAATTTCTACATTCTAGATGAAAAAAATAAGAAAATTCAACATGTGACAGACAAAATATTTCAAATGTAGTTCCGAGGAGAACTGGTGGCTCACCACCACTGGCTGAAGTAAGTTGATGAATGTACAGTAGCGTCCTCTCTCCTCCAGAAGTGCTCTTCGTACAGCCTGCTTCTCCGTCTCCTCCATCAGCAGGTACAGGTCGCTGACGTCCTGCATGGCGCTGTCCAGCTGGGGGCGCAGGTTCCCCCGGCCTGCACAGGTGAATTTGAATGACGGATTGATGGACAGGGAGAGAACAGACAAGATGGGAGTAAAGATAACAAGACAGAAGGAATGAAAACAATTTGAGAATCGAGGGGGAGGATGAGAATCACACAAGTGTCAAGGAGAGAGAGAGTAAAAGATGAGTTAATTAGAAAAAGTAATGATACGCCGTTTTGCACATAAGGTCAATGCACTGCTGGACTTCACACTCAAATGGTTCATGCACATGGGAACTGGAGGATGCTGGAACATGTCAAATAGTGATGATGTGCAGGCACGGAAATGGATGAGATCTGAAAAAACAACACTACTGTACAGAACGTTCAGTCACTGGAAAATGCAAACCTCGGTTACATGAAATGATAAACGAGTTAACCAAAGAAGGATGAGATGAAGATGATAAATGACTGCATGATTTCTACACAAAGACTGGAGGTCACGTGCATCTTAGCATTTTTAGCTAGCACCAAAGCCGTGTTGAATTTACAGTTACAAAGAGCAGAAACAGCTTATGACTGCAGGTCATGGTGTGTGAGTTTAGCTTTTTTTTTCAAGACTGAGACTAATATTCCACGAATTTTGCTGCTTCAGGGTTTTCAGATCGTTTTTAGACACGGGTAGGACTACAAGCTGTAAGTTTCACTGGCGTTCATTGACAACTACATTAAGTTGATGCAAAGAGTCGATTGTTGTAGTACTGGACCTTCTTCCACACAACTTTTCCAATTGACCATGTCACAATGTCAGTTAATGTCTTCATCTAATCCAGACAGATGGAGGCCCATTCTGCAAAATCAATTTAGATGTCTTGCACCCTGAGCCGCTGAGTTATCTCCATATGGAACAGTGTTCCATCATGCTGGAGAATACCTTGGATGGTTGGAAGGAGTTCCGCAGGGAGGATGATTAGGTACCATTATTTATTCACTGCTATGTTCTGAGGATGAACTGTGAGTGAGGTCAACCCACAGCAGTCAGATCCTGGCACTTGGAACAACATATCAATCTGGCTCTGATGGTTTTCTTGGAAAGAAGAAGTTTCTTCACTGCTCTTCTTGACACCAAGATATCCTCCTAAAGTCTTCCCTTTGCTGTGCGTGCAGAAGATTCACACCCGCCTGGACTTAGTCACCCTGGAGCCTTCTTCACAGACGCAGAGGAAATGTTTTACTGGTTCGTTTTCATGGCAAAGAGAGTCTTTGCAATTAATTGTACTTCATCTGACCACTCTTTTTTTTTTCATATTTTAGAGACAATCAATATTTGTGTGATTCTCTAAATACAACTGAACATGCTGTAAAATAAGATGAACACTGAGGACAGTTAAGGTTTAGCTACAGCAGCAGTTCAGCAATTTGGAAAATAAACTTAAAAGTCCATCTCTTATGTGCCCACTACACATGACGCCACCATCAGCAGCTGATGTGCATAGTTTAGCATATAGATGGAAGAAAACAGCGCTGAACGCATTTTCTCCTCTTTGGTTCTTGTGGAGATTAAAGTGAAAATTTGTTAGAAGGAAATGCTTGTAAGTGGATTTTACTACTTTTTAAAAATATGCAGGAAAAAGTAGTCTTTGTGCTTAGTTCAACTGAATAGCAGCTGGCAGCCAGTAATTTAGCTCCACACTGACAGGAGAGTCAGTCTTGTCTTGCAAATTTCATGTAAGGCTATATTCCTTAGGCGTGTCGTGGTATTTTATTATGTAACCAAAAATGCGAAGACAGCAGTGTTTTATCTGACTGGTGGATGGATCTGATGACGGTTTTGATGCCTGAAACTTGCAGGTGAGATTTATGTTCAGGAATTGCAGACATACCTAGAAGCTCTACAGCCAGGGCAAAAAAAGCCAGAAACAGAAGAGGGGGTGCAGTGAAAGGCAGGGATGGAGAGACAAAAGAATAGGCAGTGTTAGGTGCTTCAAACATCAGCACATTGCATGTCTATGACTGCCCGTAGCGCTGGCGTGCTGCATGAATAGAGAAGGTTAATTAGCCAGAAGAAAGATTTAACACAAGCCCAGCGAGGGGAAAAAAATCCTCTTTTTATTTTGGATTCAAAGTTTTCATTCTGGAAAGAATGTTTTAAACATAAACTTTCATTTGACAGATGTGAGGAATTTCACAGTCTATGCTCTAGGTGGTGCTAGTTCACTGTTAGACACCAGCACAGCCTAGCGACCCATGCACCGCAGACTTCAATAACATCATAAAAAATTCATTAAAAGAACACATCAGCGGCCTTTCTCACCTTTCCTTGCTTTCTTTTGGAGTTTTACTGTATCCAATGACTTCCTTTTGATTTCCTGACGAGACCTTTTATATTCTGCAGAACAAGTAAAAATAAAGAGGAAAATATTCTTTTCCATAACACCCAAAGCAGTAAAAGATTATTGTATTCTTCTGGTTGTTTACCTTTGGCATGGTCTTTGTCCAGCTGGTTAGCCGTCTTCTTCCATTCCTCTATCCTGTCTTGGAGTGGCGTAACCAAGCCTTCCACGAGGACACTACGGCAATAAGCAGGAACACGAGGAAAAGAATGAAGTGGATTTATTGACATAATAATAATAATAATAATAATAATAATAATAATAATAATAATAATAATAATAATACATTGTATTTCAAGCGCCTTTCAAGACTCTCAAGGTCACTTTACAAGCGCAGGTACATACAAGAAGAAAAAAAACAGCAATACAAATAAATGCATAAAATAATTAAGATTAAAAAAGGAGCTAAGACTAGATAAAAATGTAGGAATGGAGGATTTCGGTTGCTAGGCTAGAGGAGGATAGAAGAAGGAGTATAGTTATGGTGTATAAGCCAAGCGAAACATATGAGTTTTGAGTTGGGACTTAAAAGTCGAGAATGAGTGGATACTGCGGATGTCAGACGGGAGAGTGTTCCAGAGTTTAGGGGCTGGCATGGCTGAAACTCAAAGAAAAAAGTTGCAGAAGTAGGAGCTCAACAGAGGGGACGGATTATTCTTACTTGGTGAAGTGGCGTAATTTCGTCTCGATGCTGCGGTGTCTCATACACATTCTTGTGAGAGCTGAGCCGATGTCCCTGGTGGCGCCTTGGGAAGACAAAACAAAGACGGACTCTTATCTACTTTTCACAAGTTTAGCCACGGAAAAAAAATACTTTTACAACAAGATGATAAAATATATCAAAGTTAAGTCCCACGCTTGGTAGGATGAATTTCAAAATAAAAGTGGTTCCCAAAGTTGGACACAGGACCTAACAGTAGACCGTAACATAGGCCTACTTAGGTTTGTGGTCAACAGATGATTCCTAGAAATCTGAAAAACTATTCCTAAATTGACAATTTTCACAATAACTGATGTAAAACTAAATTTTATTCACAGACATGAATGTAACATAATATCAGTTGAAGAAGTTGTTTTATGTTAATATTTATTTAAAATTGTTTACTTTTAATAGAGATGGGTTAGGGTTAGCGATCAATATGCAGCATGATCTGCTTAAAGGCACACATGGCAGTTTAGCTTGCTTTTAGCACCCCCTAGTGTCCATTTAGTATAACCAAATGCTAAATGTATCTCCTTGCTGTGCGTTCATCTTCTTAACATGCTAATCTAACAGCTGGAATGTCTCCCCAGCCTTCAACAGTGTCTTCAGTAGCGATCCATCACTGAATAAGACATATTAGCTGTGTTCATGATGCAGAAAACATGCAGAAAACATGCTGGGAGCAGACTGCAGCACCAGGTATGTCAGCTTTATTTTTTCCAAGTCCAACAGACGGGACCGGCACTCTGAAGTTGCAAATGTGGTATTCTGGCAAGAAAGGGCGGCGGTGGTCTGAGTAACATTTCATTAACTTTGTAAAGGGTCATTTTAACACATATTGGCTCAAGAAAACTGTTTAAGAATATGACAAAGTTGCATACTATCCTTTTAATTTAAAAGGAAAAACAAAACTCTGATTTTCTGCTTCTTTTAGGTCATTGAATGCATCATTGTCTGTAATGTCCCCCAGCTTTTTGCACTATAATATTTTATTCAGAGTGATTTTTATTATTCAGGAAGACTGGATATTTTATTAGTTTTTCTTCTTTTTTTTAGTTTTTAAGTTATAATTTTGTAACAACTAGCATTTTAAACAGCTAATCCAAAATGGGAAGGATAAACATTTTATGTTTTCAGAAAGATAAAAATAAATCTGACACTTGGTAAATGGTAAATGGCCTGTATTTGATACAGCGCCTTCTAGAGTCCTAGAACCCCTCAAGGTGCTTTACAACACAATCAGTCATTCACCCATTCACACACACATTCACACACTGGTGGGGATGAGCTACAATGTAGCCACAGCTGCCCTGGGGCGCACTGACAGAGGCGAGGCTGCCGAGCACTGGCGCCACCAGTCCCTCCGACCACCACCAGCAGGCAACGTGGGTTAAGTGTCTTGCCCAAGGACACAACAACAGCGACAGACTTGTCCCATTCTGTGATTGTTCTATGTTGAGTTCTGAGTTTTACTTGCTAACGTTTCAACTAAATGTACCTACAGCCTGTTAATTATACATGGAGCTGAATTGATATCTGCCAAAATTGGTATCAGCAAGTATAAGAAGTAAAAATCAGCATCAGCCCTGAAGACGAAATCAATTCATCCCCAATTCTTAGCATTGCTGGTATAGTTTGAGTCTTTTTATGTGTCAAATGCTAAAAAGACTGGGAATCGCTGATCTAAAGTGAACCTGTAGCCACAAGATGGACACTCTAACAGGAAGTGCAGGAAATGAATGCCGCATTTAAATAAAGCAAATGAACTGGAGAACGAGATCCGCAGCTTCATTCTCCTCTTTCATTCTTTGCAAGCAATTATTTTATAGTTGACACTTGAAGACAAAGCAGGGTTCTTATAAAGTGTGAATGGTTTCTGTGCTTTTTCGCTCTGCACAAGTGTGATTAAATGGGGTCTAAGCCCCTAAAGCTCTGGCTGAGTCGCTCTGATGGATCACAGGTTGGACTAATGTATGGTAGCACTGATCCTGTTGTAATCTGGGCCACATTGGGCTAATCTGAATGTCTCTGACCAAATACACACACACACACACACACACACACACACACACACACACACACACACACACACACACACGAAGACAGGGCAAGTATCAGCAGCACATGGAGGCATCCACAACCGTGTTTATGTTTTCATGAGTGACGTTTGAAATTTGTGCGCCAAGGGTTGAATGTAGACAGGTGGTGTGATCTAACAACCCCCTCCCCACCCTTTCCGAAGTTCTCACCCCTCCTGTCCTGGAGGAAAAAGGAGGGAGCCCTGTAAGGGGATATCCCTCTATTCTTCCCTGTCTGCTCTGCCTTTCCTGTTCTCTCTGTTTCCTAAACACCATTCATGCCGAACAAGCAGCAAGTGAAAGAGACCACCGCTAAATACGCTACGAAAACAGGCGGGAGAAAATAAGAAGTGCACAGAACGCTCCTGATCGGTGTCCAGGGAGAGCAGTGCTCGATTCTAGATTCAAGTAAATGGCACAGCTGTTTATAAAAGAGACCCTCAGCAAAAGATGTCTCATTAGGACATCTGTGGCAGACACATGTAAAATAACTTTACTTTGTTCTGTGTTGGGAAGAGGAAAGAAAAGCCGTTCTGCTTTTCTAGGCGAGCGAGAAAGGAGGGTTCGAGGTGAAAGTTCCTCCAGCTGCATCACATGCACGCATCACACAGGAGCAGGAAGTGATTATAAAAACATGTGGAGCTCAAGTCGCTCACTGCAAGTTTTACCTCTAGTTCGTGCAAAAAGAAGCAAAGATGGTTTATGGATTTCTCCTCATAGAGAACAAGCTGGAGAAGCAGGACGAGGGAAGAATCGGAATTTCTGTTCTTTCAAACAGACCTTGCTTATGTCACTGTCAGCTGGAGAGTCTGCGCTCCTTTCCCTTCCACACCTGCCAGTTTCCCCCCCGCCTCTTCCTCTCTGTCTTCCACTCCCAAAAGGGGGATCAGCTGACAGCTACATCCTGGGAAGCTTCAGAGGCTTCCTGGCCATTTCCAAGAGCCTCGCTGGCCTCGACCGGATGAGCAGGGACACAGCGCTTCCCTCCCACTGCACCCTCTGTGGCTTCACATTGTGACAAGTGTGCACAGACAAGAGGAAGCTTTTGCCTCAATAAAAAAACACTAAACATTTTCTCTTCCCTCATTTTCAACATTTTTGTTACTGATATAAGATAAAGATAAAGGCTTCCTCATGAGGTTTCGTTACCTTCTCCATTACTTCAGCGATTTTACGCTACTAAAGTAAACTTTGTAGACCTTAGAGGTTGGCTGCGGACATGTACGAAGTGTAGAAGTGACTATTAGCCAAGCGAGACCCTTGGGGCTTCAGACGAAGCTGCTGGAGCTGCTTGCAGACGTCTTCACAAGCACGAATGGAGCAGATGAGGATGGAGGAGGGCTGACGTGGATGTTCTGCTTTGACATTGACAAATGTGAGCAGCTGAAGGTGTAAATGAGAGACAATGGTGCTCAACAGGAAAACAACGCGTGTGCTGAAGCTTTTACCGTGATCATGGCGAAAAGATCAAGTCTCATGGTTGGTGGAAACTTCAAGCTCCAACAAAGTGGTTTCAGCGTTCGAGTGGTTCCACCCAGACCTCTGGTTCTGATTAACTCCGCTGACTTCTTAGGGTAGGAGGAGCATTTTAATGGGCCTGCTTTATAGGGGGTTATACTGCCAGGAGCTAAACTACAACAGGCCTCGGTCCTTGACGTCTCCAACATGGGAGCTTAGTTTAACTACCTCTGCACTCTACTCGGCATCTAAAGTCTGGTGTTCAACTTGGGGTTCATTGGTGTTTAAACTACCCGGTCAGATGGAAGTTCTGCTGCTGCTGAGAGTTCGCTGACGCCTGAGCGTGTCCCATCTATCTCTGCTTTCTGTGGCAATAAAGGGGTGGAAGCAAAAGTACAGAATATCCCAGCTGTTGACATTTCCAGAAATATGAAGTCCCGTTTAATTTGCTTGGTTCTGTCCCGGCGCCGTCGCTAAGCTAAGGAAATTCCATCATCCAAGGGAGGGCAGTTATTCCCCGCGTTGGCACCTTGGTTTCAGAGCAGACTGCTGCTGGCACAGACAGATAAGCTCCTGTGCTTCACCCTCCCTCGCCCATTTTAAGGAAGGAATGCAAGAGTGTGAACTGGCAGGAGCACAGAGAAGGCCTCTGATGGATGAAAGGGGTTGTGGGATGAAATTGGAGGAAAGTGAAGGATGAAAGGACGTGCATACTGCCAGTGAGAAGAGAGTTTGGCCAGTGGAGAGGCAGAGGAAGTGTTGGACAGCTGCTGCAGGTGCAACAGGCACTGCCAAGACTGCATTTTCAACATTAAAGTCAACATAAATAATCAGAACCATGTAGATATAATCTAGTTTTACCATTCAAAGGTTTGCAAACTAAATATTTGTTTTTAATTTAGAGGAAAACGTCTAAGAGAATAAGAAAGAAATGCTTAGATTTGTTTTTTAGCATCATTTGTTCTTGTTTACTGTACTTCAGCAAAAGCACACAGATGCAAGTTATAATTTTAAAACCCTACAAACTGTCATAAATTCACATCATCAATAATTAGCTTCAAAGCACAGCTAGGGTTTTACTGGTGCTGCACAGTGGGGGTGGTCGGATTCATAAATAAAGCAGCATCCGTTGAGCCTGCTGGTTAGAGAGCAACACCCTCTGATCTAAACCCGAAGGGGCGGTGGATAAAACAACCACATGTGGACGTGGAGAGCTGCAAATCTAACTCATGCTAGTCAGACACGGGCAATGTGAGAAACTCTTCTAATTCAATCTTGGAATTCTGGACGACTCATCTCCGTCTGCTTCCAAAAATACAGCCAAAATATCTCTTTTGCACCCTCTGCCATGTCGTGTTTTTAGAACTAATCCTGATAATTATCAGCATCAACATATTAAATAATAATTGATGATTGCAGCAAAATACGAGCTATAAAAGAAGTTGACAAGTATTAACTAATGCACGAGGTGTATTTTTATTTCTTGAATTAATGAAAAGGTTACATT